CCAGTTCAATAACTTGTAACTTTTGACCTGGACAGTTCAGTAATTTTCCCCCATATATTTGATCCATTTCATTATTTTCATGTCAGCCTCGAGACAATATCTTATTTTTAATCTCTGTCTTTCTCATATTATTCACAATAGTTTATTAAAAACAAATGTATATAAAGAGTTTAAAAATTGTAAATTTAACAAAATGTATGACTGTAAGTATACTTATCATTTTTTCTTTAATGCACAGCTTTTGAAATAGATTAGCTTGTTTGTAATCCAGTTTGTCTGCTTAGATCAGGATGTGACTGGCTCAAGTCAATTTATTGCTCAACACGTTAACTGTTGCTGTTATTTATGTCACGTCAGGCGAAAAGTGCTTCTCGTCCAATCACGATTTTTCTTGCTACCCTAAATGAAACAATAAAAAGGTTTTAAAAAGTTTTCGCGCATTTCATTATAGTTAAAAAAAATATTCAGTAAAAACTTGACTCTGATATGATTTCAGTAAGTATATACTTACAGTAGAAATTTTAGTAGAAAAATTTTTTTAATTTTCCTACTTTGACACTTTTTCCCTAAATTAAAAAATATTTACTAAAATTTTTACTATACTTATTTAAATTTAATATATGTTTTCTTTCAGTGTATCTATACGCAGTGTAAATAAAAAGTCAGATTAACAAAAGATTGTTTATTTAGGTATAAGTTTATTTTAAATTGGGTGCAAAATTCCAAATTGTTTGGCTACATCTTTTTTTGCTCTACCACTTTCTACGATATTGATAATTTGTTTTCCAAAATCGTTAAACATTTGTGTGATCTCGGAGAGTCCTTTTAAACTTGAAGAAGAAACGAGACAAGTCTTAAACTGAATTTAACAGTAAATTAATGATTACATTAACAGGAATGAGTAAAAAAAATTATCAAGAAACCCAAAACAATGAGTTTTTTTCAATTTATCCAGAGTTTTTGAAGGGACCCGAAGAACGCTACAATTTACCGAGAGATTCAATTTATCGAATGTGGCAATTTTTGTTTTTAAATTATTATTTATTGTTTTCAGAGGGAGCCAAAGTAAAATTTGTAATTTTTAACGGTGCCCCCGATTGCAAATAATCTAATTGAGATTTTGACTTTAAGTTTTTTTCATGTTGTTGAAAAACATGTTTCTTAGAGAACTTGTACTTAAAATATTAAAAATTTAATCGTGTACAAATCTTTTATAACCAAACCCAAAAAAACATGGCATTTTTTAACGATATGCCATTTTATTTATTTTTTTTACATTTTTTCAATTCTATCTTATATACGTCCACTAGATATAGATGTATACTAAAAAATGCACTTTGATTTTTGATTGTCAGGAATAATGGATCTATTGGGAACACCGCAAAAAATTATAAATTTTACATTTTGACTTTGGCGCCATCTGGAAACAACAAATAATAATTTAAAAACTAAACAAAAATTGTCCCTTTTAGTTAAAATATGATATTTTTAAGTGTAAAAAGTTTCTTCTATTTAGAATAAAAATGAGTGAGAAAAAAATTAGTAAAGATCTGCCTATTTTTCGCGTTTGCAAACGTACGTCTGCTTTAGGGGTATGTCCAACATGTGACATGTAAACAAACATGAAAATGTAAAAAATTACTGACTTATCTTGTACACGCCTTTTTTTGAAATGAAATAACAATTTTTCTTTCTCTATGCAGAAATGGAATATTTTATGTATTTTATGTATTTATATAAAACTATAAAATGACATCTTATTTAACTAATCATATAAATAACTATGTATATTTATAATAAAATGAAAATTAAATTGTATTAGAAATTTTCTCAAGGTTACGAAAGAATTGAGCGATTGGTCGCTCACATGTTGGAAAGGGTAAAATTCTGAATTTATACCCCCACCAGAGGACAGAGACTATAGGTCTTTTACCCCTTCCCACATTATTTCTCCCACCTAGGTCCTCTCCGTCCGTGCGTCTGATATACACAAATGGTTATTTTTTCGTAACCTTGAGAAAATGATTGTTTTAGCGTAATTTTCATTTTATTATAATTATTAATATTATTCATATTATTAGTCAAATAAGGTGTGAGGCTGTAGTTTTATATATGAATTTTCCATCTTCACATAGAGAAAGAACAATTTTTATTTTCTATTTAAAAAAAGGCTGTCGCAAATTTGTCAATAATTACGTACATTTTCATGTTTGTTTACATTTGACAAGTTCCACCTGGTCTTAAATAAAAACATTAATTATTCGTAACTATTATCGTGTAAATAATAAATAAATATTACATAAATGACTTTCGTCGATATTCTTTTCTTTGCTCGTTTCTTATTTCTCATTTTTCTGCTTCCTTTTTTCGCTTTTTCCTCATTCTTTCACGTTTAATTATTTTTATTTCTTTTCTGCCTCCACTTCTTCTTGTCAATATTTTGGTTAATTCGAGATAAACGTTATAAAACAAGTAAATGCGCAACTTCAGGTTGATCTAAAAATGATTGATCTGACCAAGCGACAAATTTGACGAGCGAAAAATTAAATATCTACGTAAAATAAATAATTAAATAAGAATTTAAATAATTGAAACCATATGTGCAGTTTTAAGTACATCAAAATGAATATGTGCCTCAATTTTGGTGCTGATTTGATTTTAGATTGTTTAGTTTTTCAATACATACTTATTTTTTAAAGAACTAGCTGATTTGACCAGCGACACAAAAACGGAGGGACACTTTTCAAACCATTAAATCTTTTACAGTGAAATAATATACACTTTTTTCTTTGTTTATGAAATTTTTAAATAGTTTAAAACAATAAAAAATTTTTTTAAAAAAGAAACTAGGGTAAATGCAATAATTACAGCGCGGTTAAATTCAAAACACCTTCGAAGTAAAAAATGCGTCATTTCTATTTTATAAAGTCAATTTAAGACTTATTAAACTAAAAGCTTATGTTATTTAGATATTTCGGTTGGCTGAAACTAACTCGTACAGTTATCTCAACCAAACATTTGGTTAGGCCAACCAAATTATTTGGTTGAACATTTTTAAATTCCAAAAAAAATTTGGTTACAACAACAAAATAATTTGGTTAACATAACAAAATAGTTTGGCCTAAAAAACCAAATGATGGTTTGTTGTCCTAACCAAAATTTGGTTGCGACAACCAAATAATTTGATTCGCTCTCAGTTCATAGCTTAAGAGAACAGTTAGTTTAAATCTCTCACAAGGATGGGTAGTCCAGTGGTCAGAGCTCCCGATCTTCAGTTTTAAAACAGAGGTTCGATCCCAGGCGGAGATGAGATTTTTCAAAGTCCACAAATATTTCAATTGGATAAATATAAATTCAATGTTAAATTGATAATAAATAAATAACGAAATAAATAAAAATGATAAAAAGAAAAGAGATAAGGTAGAATAAAAATTTTAATTTTACAAAAAAAACTGTTTGATCAAACAATCATTTTTGTTCACCTAACAAACAACATACATTTGTATTGACAATATTCCGAATTGTAATATCAACAAATCTACTGACAACAATCCAAAAACTGTTTGCACAACAATCCCATTTTTCTCCGTGGGGGTATTACTGTATAAGACTAGGGGTCGTGCACATAACCCAAATAGCACGGAAACTTCAGCAAGTTTGCTGCAAGTTTGTAGTGCAAGGTTTGAAAGTTTGTAAGGTAAGTTTGCAGCAAACTTGTGGCAAATATTGCAAACTTGCTGCAAGTTTCCGTGCTATTTGGGAATATGTCACGCGAACAAGGGAAGGGGGGTCTAGAGATTTGTAATGACCCATAGAAAAAATGGCGCTAATGTATGGAACCAAGTGTGACATGGGGGGAGGGGGGATAAAAAAAGTGTAAAAATTGCGTGACGTATTATGTGCACGACCCCCTAGGTAACTATACTTTATTTTGCTAATTATATGAACAAATAAGTATATTATATTAAAATGAAAGGTACACTGAAACAGCAATTTTCTCAAGGTTACGAAAAATTTTATCGTTTGAGTATATGTATAGCGATAAAAGACATAGTCTCTGTCCTCTGGTGGGAGTATAATTTTTCAGAATTTTACCCTTTCCAGGTCCTCACCGTCCGTGCCTCAGATATGCTCAAGTGGTTATTTTTTTCGTCCCCTTGAGAAAATTGCCAATTCAGTGTAATTTTCATTTTATTATAATTATTAATTATACCTATTTGTTTATATAGGGTAAAGTGTCTTAAGAGTACGCGCAGTTAATTCTGTTTTTGGAATTAACTTTCAAACTTAAAAGTAAAAACTCACAAATAAATTATCCAATTATAGTGAAACATCTATAGAATGGATATTATATGTTGAAAGTACAAATATTATTTATTTTTTTCGCAAATTAAATATTTTAAAAGAAAAGTTATTTGCGTACTCTTATAGACATGACCTGCCTAAGAGTCTAGATGACTAGATCTGCCATGGTTTAGACTTTTAAAGAGAATCAATATTTATAAATAAATAGAGGCAAAAATATTTTTCTAATATTATTAATTTATGAAAATTAAATATATATTTTTTATTTAGTCACATAAATCACAATTAATTGAAACCTTCCTAAGAGTACGTAAATTAACCTACCAATTTACTATTTTTGTATTATTAAGCAATTATTTCCTTATTTATTAACATAAATTACAGTTAAATTGATCACATTTTCAAAAGTACGGTAAATACTCTTAAAAAATTATTACTGCATACTCTTGGGCAGTACGGAGAAGAATTTAATAATAATAAAAAAAATACTTAACTATAAAAATTTAAGTTCAGAATTCTTTTATTACATTTAACGGGTTTCATATTTGTGAAAATTTCATTCTTAATAATTCGTTTATCATGACATTTTGATCATGTGTACTTTCTGACACTGACAGCTGATAATCCTCGTAATATTCCATAGACTTTGCCCCTGTCTGTTCTTTAATCGAATTGTATTTCAAATTACATTTTAGGTTGTAGCTGTACATGTTGAATCTGGAGTTTTTGACTCTTATTATAATGGCTGTTGCAACGGAACTTTTTGGCCCTTATTTCATTCTATGCCAGATAGAGCAACATTTATCGCAGATCATTGGCGTGCTTATAGCAGAGTCAATGAAGAATTTGCTGCAAAAACCGTAAGTCAGACAGTTCAAATTAGAAATGATACTACTACTAAAGATGATGACAAAATAATTAATATTTTAGGTCCAAGCATTGGAACTTATACACAAAGAACAAGAAGGAAAAGGCAATGGAACACCTCTTGTTTGGGTGCACGATTATCATCTCATGCTCGCAGCCAATTGGATACGACAAGCAGCTGATGAAAAAAAATTGAAACTGAAATTAGGATTCTTCTTACATATTCCATTCCCCCCTTGGGATATATTTCGATTGTTCCCTTGGGCCGATGAAATACTTCAAGGCATGCTAGGTACCTTATTATTTATATAACTGTACATTATTACACTTGACATTCAAATATAAGTTGCTCAATTAAAGAAGTTTTTTTTTGTTCCTATAATTTCAGGTTGTGACATGGTTGGATTTCACATTCAAGACTACTGTTTAAATTTTGTTGATTGCTGTCAAAGAAGTTTGGGTGGCAGAGTGGATCGTAAAAATCTCCTTGTTGAACATGGAGGTCGTACTGTACGAGTTCGACCTCTTCCTATTGGAATTCCATTTGACAGATTTGTATCGTTAGCTGAAACTGCACCCAAAGTTATGCTTACAAATCAAAAAGTTGTCCTAGGAGTGGATCGTCTAGACTATACTAAAGGTCTCGTTAATAGGTTAAAGGCGTTTGAAATGTTGTTGGAAAAACATCCCGAGCACAGAGAAGAGGTTTGTAGAAAATAATTATTTTGCAAAAAGTCCAACATGTGAAATGTAAACAAACATGAAAACGTAAGAAATGACTGACTATCTAGTTGTGCACACCTTTTTTTTAAAACGAAATATCAATTTTTTTTTCTCCATGCAGAAATGGAAAATTGATATATAAAACTATAAAATGACATCTTATTTAACTAATTATATGAAAAAATAATTATAATTATAATAAAATGAAATTTAAATTGTATTAGCAATGATTTCAAGGTTACGAAAAAAAACCATTTGAGTATATCTGATGACGCATGGACGTTGAGAATCTAGGTGGGAGAAAGAATTGAGCGATTGGACGGTCACATGTTAGAAAGGGTAAAATTCTGAAATTTTACCCCTTCTCTCACTTTCTCCCACCTAGGTCCTCAACGTCCGTGCCTTTTTTATTTTCTACTCAAATGAGAAGTGCGAAAAAATGTAAAAAAATTGGAAATTCAGTGAACTTTTCATTTTATAATAATTATACTTATTTGTTTAGAAAAGTTGTCAAGAAGTATAGTTACCTAGTATAATATATCAATTAACATTTTCACAAAGAAATTAACAAATTTTTATTTTCTATTCAAATGAGAAGTGCGAAAAAACTGTTCAAAATCTAAACAAATCATGCCCATTTTTTCGCACTTCTCATTTGAATAGAAAATAAAAATTTGTAACTTTCTTTGTAAAAAAGGTAAATTTATATATTAGACTAGGTAACTATACTATAATGAACTAATTATGTGAAGAAATAAGTATAATTATGATGAAATGAAAAGTACACTGAAATATCAATTTTCTCAAGGTTACGAAAAATTTAAGCTTTCGAGTATATCTGAGGCTCGGACGTTGAGGACCTAGGTGGGAGAAAGTGAGAGAAGGGGTAAAATTTCCGAATTTTACCCTTTCCAAGATGTGACCGTCCAATGGCTCAACTCTTTCTCCCACCTAGGTGCACAACGTCCGTGCCTCAGATATACTCAAATGGTTTTTTTTTTTAGAAACCTTGAAAAAACTAGTTTAAGTCAACAAACTAAGCAGGTTTTCAAAAATTTTCCTGTTTCATTCATTTAAAATTTTTCTTAAAAATTATGTTTAATAAATAAATAAAATAATATTTTTATATATATGGATAAGTCGCACAGACAGGAGCCATAGGTTAAGTTTCATTATGTTAATACAAATGTTATAACTTTTGTAAAACTTTAATTGATATCAATAAACAAATTCTAATACTAAAATTTAATTAGAAACCTTGAAAAAATTGCTAATTCAGTGTACTTTTCATTTCATTATAATTGTACTTATTTTTTCATATAATTAGTTAAATAAAGTATGGTTACCAAATTTAATACATTAATTTACCATTTTCATGAAGAAAACGACAAATTTTTATTTTCTACACAAATGAGAAGTGCGAAAAAATGTGCATGGTTTCTTTACATTTCACATGTTAAACTTGCCCTTAAATTCTTAATGTCAGAAATAGTGAATGATTTTTAATAACATGTATAGGTGACAATGTTGCAAATAGCTGTGCCATCACGAACAGATGTTCGTGAATATCAGGATTTAAAGCTGGAAATGGATCAATTAATTGGCTGCATAAATGGTCGCTTCACAACTCCAAATTGGTCACCAATCCGCTATATTTACGGCTGTGTTAGTCAGGATGAATTGGCTGCCTTTTATCGGGACGCAGCCGTGGCTTTGGTCACTCCTTTGAGAGATGGAATGAACTTGGTCGCCAAAGAGTTTGTTGCCTGCCAAATAAATAAGCCACCTGGAGTTTTAATTGTTTCGCCATTTGCTGGAGCTGGAGAAATGATGCACGAAGCTTTGATTTGTAATCCATATGAAATTGATGAAGCAGCCGAAGTGATTCACAGGTCTGTGAAAATGATAGTTTCTTAGAGAACAAGTAAAATAAGTTTTTTTGTTTCAATTTTATTTTGTAGATTCATATGACTTGATATTTGAAAAGATGAATATATTAATTTAGAGCTTTGACGATGCCTGAAGACGAGAGAACTTTGCGAATGAATCACCTTCGTCGTAGAGAAAGAATTTATGATGTGAATCACTGGATGAAGTCTTTTCTTCAGGTAATGGGTTCACTTGAAGAGAGAGATTCGGTTGGTGCTACCACGATGCAGCCAGTAACAATGGATGATTTTGATGATTATTTGAGCAAGTAAGCATTATTATATTAAAGGAATGTGCATGTCTGGGCCCGACCAGTGCATGTGCTACCATCAAATATTTTTTTACAATAATAAAGTAATTATATATTTCCTCTGGTTTAAATGTAGATGTGTATATTTACGAAATGCAAAAAAGCATGAGTTTGGGTACGTCGCCTCGTGGGTGCAGTCATTCTGCATGATGTTTAAGACAAAGCTTATGATGCTTCAAGTCATTGGTTATGTGTCGGAGTAAAAAGAAGACGCGTTCTTAAAAAATAATGATTACTGAGGGGGAACTATTTTAATGTGCAAGACGGTGAAAATAAAAAATAAAGCTTTCGGAAGCAGGCGGGCCCCGCGCGAGCGATTGCGACCTAACTCATGATGAAAGCCGGGTAACGATCAAATGAATGGCGTATGTCCCCTAGGTACATTGGCGACGATCACAAATTAGCTCTTCTCTTGGACTACGATGGTACTCTTGCTCCGATCGCAACGCACCCAGACTTGGCGATTCTTCCCTTGGAAACAAAAAACGTCTTACAAAGACTGTCAAACATGCCCGACGTTTATATTGCAATCATATCGGGCAGAAATGTGAATAATGTCAAAACTATGGTTGGAATTGATGGAATAACATACGCTGGCAATCACGGACTAGAAATTTTACATCCTGACGGAAGCAAATTTGTTCATCCCATGCCTGCAGAATATGAGGGCAAGGTCGCTGGATTAATGCAAGCTCTCCAAGACCAGGTGGATTTTTTTAAGTCTTTCAGGATATAAGCAATAGTATTATGATAATTATGAATTTTCCTCTTATCTTTCAGTTGTGCAAGGATGGTGCTTGGGTAGAGAATAAAGGAGCTTTGTTAACTTTCCACTATCGGGAGACTCCAATGGAAGGTCGGTTGGAAATGATTGAGAGTGTCAAAAAGCTGATTGAAAACGTCGGGTTTAAGGCTTGTTCTGCACACTGTGCAATCGAAGCTAAACCTCCTGTTGAATGGAATAAAGGCCGGGCCTCTATTTATATTCTCAGAACTGCCTTTGGACTCGACTGGAGTGAAAGAATCCGAATTATTTATGCAGGAGATGACGTTACCGATGAAGACGCCATGCGAGTGAGTAATAATAGGTTTTTGAAAAAACACATCAACAATTTGCTTTCTATTCCATTTTTTACTCGAGTCTCATTTTAGGCATTGAAAGGTATGGCAGCGACATTCCGCGTTGCTTCCTCCCATATAATTCGTACATCAGCTGAGCGCCGTTTGCCTAGTACAGATTCTGTCTTGACGATGCTGAAATGGGTCGAGAGGCATCTTAGTAGACGTAAGCCACGAGAAAATAATGAATCATGTAGATTTCGTCGCAGCAGTCCAAGTACAGGAATTACGATGGAGATGTGTTTCACTGAAAAGCCAAAGTCGTAGAAAATATATTCCAGCAAAGAAACATATTTTAATTTTTGTTCCAAATATTAAGATACAATAATACAATATTACTAAAATCATTACTTTAGTGTAGGTAATAACTCCGTGTTACAGTTGTACAATAGTTTGAAAACCAATGAAATGACCTCATGATGTAGTGTAAAAAAATAATTCTTCTCTTTGTTATCTTCTTCTTTCATACAACAAATGTAGGTATTTATATATTTATAAATTTCTCAATTTTAAAAGACTAAAATACTTTTTATACTTGTACTTTATACTTGTAAAACAAAATCTAATGACACCAGGTTACGAAAAATTGCGTTCCAAATTTTTGCAATTGTAACTTGTAATTTTTTAAATAAATATTAACTATTTATCATTTTTTGAGGTAAAAATTAAAAATAAGACATTCGTGCATACAATATATTTCAAGTATTACACAATTTTGTAATATTTTTCTAAAAAGGTTACATTGGGACTCACGGAATCTTTCACGGCAGCCTTCATGTAATATTCATGAAAGTAACAAAATATTCTACTGTCACGCAGTAGTATTTTTCAATCTTCTTTTCAAATTGAGTCTTATAAATAATAGAATGTTTAAACGCAAACTATATTGCACAAAATAAAAGTTTTAAGCATTTGTCTCAAACTTTATATGCGAGTAATTACATTTCCTGCACTAGGTATGTGATGGACTTTTAAATACTCAATCATATCAAATTTTGATATAATAACTATATAGGATTTCGCTTATAGAATTGAAAAATTAAAATAAGAGCGGCGACGATTGTACTCTAATTATAGTGATTTTAGATTGTTTTAATTATTTGATTAATTTATTCATTAAACATTTTTATGTTTAAAATGTAAAACGTTAATAATGTACAGATAGATAAATACTTTAGGTTGACAAAAATCAGTTATTAAATTTTACAAAAGTATATGATATGATTTTAGAAAACAGTTTTAATAAATTAAATTTCCATGTAAGAATAAATATTAAACTTTGATAATAGAATGTGAGGCTTAGTGTGCTTTTTTAAACTCAAATTTTGTAGTAATTTTCATAACAAAAATTTCTACCACACATACGCGAAAACATCACGTTTTTGTGCCCCTGAAGCGAGACAGCTAGAACTTGAAGTTTTCTTGTTAGTAACACGTCAGAACGAAATATACTAACCTGAAAACTTGGCACATAAACAGGGTCTTCCCTTCCTTGATACATAATATACTATTTTAAATGGTTGACATTTTTTCTCTGGAGTTTATAAAATACTTTGAAATGTCTTAATAAACTTTTTTTTTAATATGTTGAAACACTGAACAAAAATTTATTTTTTTTCAAATACATTTTTTCAGTGTACATTCAGATATACGCACAATCATCATTATAAGTTGAATTAATAATACAGTTAACAATAAAAATACTTTAAAACGCATCAATTAATTTTTGTAAACAATTTATATACGGTTTGTAAAAATAAACTTTCAGAAATTAGATTAAAATTTTAATAAATTTCATACCAGCTTCTTTTAGCCTTCAACATTATACAGTAAGAACGATTGACTATGAATCAGCTCAGGCTCATGAGTGCGACTCACACTTACCTATGATCAGTAGTTAACCATTTTTACGGTATACATATATATGTATTCCACGCCAAATTAGAAGTCCATCTGCAATTGCGTCTCCGATGTTTTTGAAACTTTTTTTTCTTTTAGTAGCAACAGACACTTTTGAGCAAAAATCAAAATAATATAATTACATGAGTCTCGCATGATATTCAGTTGGACTGTATGATTTTTGCTTATTGGAAGTGTCCATTCTATATTCCTAAGGACATGCTCATGCGCAAATCGCAGAAGATTTCTCTCCGTGCATATTTTACTCAATACACGAAAAAAACCAGAAATTTAGTACCTTTTTATGGTTTTCATCATAAAAATGAAATTTTCGATTATTGTCACTATATGATTTTCGGAATCAGCGCACCAAAATACATAAATGTATGTACACTGAAAAAAAATAGTATTGAATCAAGAAAATCTATGTACTTGACCGTATTTTATACCAATATTTTCTTGATCCAAGAAAATTTACTTCAAACTAATAAAAATTTCTTGGATCAAGAAAATATTGGTATAAAATACGGTCAAGTACATCGGTTTTCTTGATTCAATACGATTTTTTTTCAGTGTATAGTATAAAAAACCCGGAAATATTTAAGGAAGTTATGAGCATTCAAAAATAAAGAAACATTGAAATTCTGAAATTTTGAAAAAATCATTTCTCGTAACGGCTTGCCAAACAAAATTGAAAAAAATCATGAAAGCTAGTGTCAATTAGTACTAAAAGAAAAACAAGTTTCAAAAAAATCGTAGATGCAATTGCAGATGGACTTATAATTTGGCGTGGATACATGTATAATGCTCTGAATATTTAACGTCAATAAAATAATTTTTAAAATTAAACAAGAAAAGACTATAAAATAGGGGAGACCGAGGAGGAAAGTAACAGAGGAGGAAAGTAACAAAGCTTATAACTTTTAAACAAATTATCGGATAGACATGGTTCAAACATATTTTTAGTCGGCACTGTTCCCCCTTCCTCCTCCATAGTGTGTCCGAGCCTGACAGGAAAGGTTAGGTCTGATTCCGGTGTGACGTGCAGAAAAAACGTCAAAAGTAAGTTTTCGTTCAAATTTTCAAATTCTCGTATTTCTTAAATTTTATTGTTTTTCAAAATGTGCCTTTCGTTATTTTGTAGCCTTATTATCTGTCTTTAAGTTGTGCTTAAACAAACAATTTAACAGTTGTGTAGTTTTAACTTTTTTGTTGACATACAAGAAAAAATCGACCGAGGAGGAAAGTAACACGCTACTTTTCTCCTGTTGTCGATATTGTCCATGTTTTAATTAATGATTGAAGCAAATCGTATTTAATTTTACGAATAACAGAGATTTATTTAAGAAAAACCTGTGATCTAGGTAAGCATAAAATATCTTTAAGAAAAAAAATGAGCTAAATTCATAAAATGTTCGATATATGTGCTAAATATGTCCCATATATGTGCCAAATAAGTATAAAGTGTACTTAAACTTTTATGTGTTCCTAATAAAAATATTTCTAATTAATAATAGTCATTAGTCTAAAGAATTTTACATAATTTTATATTGTTACTTTCCTCCTAGGAGCTTGTTACTTTCCTCCTCGGGGGTGAGGAGGAAAGTAACAGATGAAGAGCTTGCGTAAAAGTTATACTGTGAACTGTCAATTTATTATAAATGTTTAATTCAAATTTTATTTAAAAGGTGAATGTCCAAGCTTTCATTTAATATATTGGACAAATTTATCCGACAAATATTTTTAATGCTAGCATAAAAAAACTGATTTTTGTTACTTTCCTCCTCGGTCTCCCCTATTATAAAAATACAATATATGAATATTATTGCATAATATATGGACAAAGAAAGACTGCCTTGCAAGTTAAAAATGATTGAAAATGTAAATTGATGAGAAATATGTATTAATAAAGTGCTCTGAAGAAGCATATTTAAGACACGATATTTTATTATTAGTCACAAAGTATATGTGTAATATAAAACGTATCAAAAAAATGTAATATATATAAGACGTTTTAATTTAGAAATCCAAACTATACACATATATATATATATATATATATATATAATAACACTTTTAGTTGTATATGTATATGATTAAATATACAATGATTGAAACTTTGTGTTCACATTAAATCAATAAAACTTCTTTCATTTGAATATTAATTTTCAATAATAAAATTAATGAACAATAGTATTATAATGTATCTATACTCCGTAAAAAAGAAATAATATTAGTAACGCGTAATAGGAGGTACGAAGGAAACGATTGTTAATACATATTGTAAGCAGTATTAATAAGGGAGACTTTTTCGCAGCGTAAATAATTCATTACACTGTATAATATAAAGATCATAAATACTTGATAGCAGAATATAAGGTACATACCTATATTTGCGTAATTTTAAAAAGTTTTAGAGCTATTTTTATTTGTTAAAGTTCTGCAGTCGCAATTAATAAATGTATTTAAAAAACAATTTAAAAAGTTTAAAACAATTAAAAGTTGATCAATTTTAAAGAAATTCCGATGTCGTGATTTTTTACCGCGAAACTCGCGAAATCATTTTATGATTATTTTTAACATAGAAAGTCGTTTAGAACTGTTTTTAAAATAAATATGTCTATAATAAAATCCATAATTTAATGTTATAAATGTTTATTAAAATTTAATAGATTTAAGCTCGCTGTATGGGGCTATCGGATGATCGCACTTTAAATCTCGAAAAGGAGTATCTTAAAATACATTGTAGACGCACTTTTAAAACGTTTAAAACATCTTCTGTAACGATTTTACATTTTCAAAATTAATGCATTTTAGGATGATTTTCATACCTTTTTGGGGGCCGTCCATATATAACGTAGAAACTTGGGGGGGGAGGTTTAAAAATATCTAAAAATGTCCACGATTCAATGTATTTTGGTGTCCACAATGGGGGGTCAAAAATCAGTAAAAAATTGTCCACGTGGTATATGAACGCGGCCCCTTGGAAACGCATCTTAAAAGTGACTATCAATGCCCCATGTAGAAATTTCCCTACCAGGGACATGGTAGTGAATAATATAATCTGGCCCCGAACAGGGACAGATCAGGGCCACGAGAAAATGTGGATTTCCTAATCAGGGCCACATCAGGCCTGGCGTTGCATTACCATCCCATCAGGCCCCGATCCGAGCCATGACAAAATTTTCACACGGTTTAATAAGATGCCTATACTTTCTGTAGTGATGGGCGCGCGTGCATCTATATTGTTTTCGACATCATTTCTATAAAATTTCAATTTCAATATTATCTTATATTGAAATTTCTTTAAATAGATTTTGAGAAGGTCCAGACTATTAAGAAGTCACTTGTTTATAACTAATTTATTAAATATCAATAAAATTTTAAAAGTTTTGAAATAATAAAGAAACGTCTATTTTATTATACATGTGTATATAACAATATAATATTTGGATGTTTTTCAGTGGATGCATTCATGTGAAATCTAGCAAGTCAGAGTTTCAAACAGGCTTTTTACTTTTTAAAAATGAAAATGTCAATGAATCTTTTTAAAAAGAGAATTAGCGTGAAAGGATTATAGATTTCTAGGAAAATTGGCAGTGAAGATTCCGGCGTGGTTGAGAGCAGTATAGTGCGAGGGCAAAAATTCGCACAGATCTTGTGAATGCTTCAGAATACAATGAAACAGTTTTGGCTGAAAAGAAGAAAGCCTTTTTAAAAATATCCAAATATTTTCATTGCTGGAGTCTTTTCCTGAATCCGAAGAGTTTTGAAAATGATACTCTTTATGAACTATAAAGGAAAGATATTTTTCAATTTTTCTTACTATATCGACACTTTTGTTTTCTATTGTTATTAGTAGTGACTTGCCTGCAATAATCAAGTTCATTAAACGGAATCAGTTTCAATCAAGTTTTGCTCTTCTAAAAAATGGTGTTTTTATCAGTTTTTGTTATCAATTTAAAATATTTATATGACAGACATGTAGAAGCAAAATATTTACATTTGCATATATTGTTCAACTTGGAAAATGATTGTTTGTTTATCTGTAAATATAATAGTGAAATTTATTCTATTTTGTAAAATAGTTTTGGGAAATGTTGGTCCTTATTTGTAAATGCAAGATAATAAATACACGGGAAAATACATATAATAGACTGAGAAGTATAAAGAAGCGATTACACACATATAATAGTGTACCCAACTTTCTGAGACGTGCGGCCATAAACCGATGTAGTGCCATACCGGTGTGGTGCGGTGATCCGCCTCTAAAGCCGGATAGGTATTATTTTCGCTCTTTTGCCGATTCAATGGAGTGTGCAAAGAAATAAGAAAGGCAGTAGTGTAGTAGCGTTTAACAAGACTTTAATAAAAGGTAAACAGTTCTCCTTCAGCCTGTATTATATCTGCCACGGCTTCTATTGCTTCGGAATTTTTTGTTATTGATTTACCAATTTACATTCAAGACTGATTAATTTCTAATTTAGCAGTGGTAAAAGTTTAAGACTTAATGCAATTCCCTCTAACAGCATATTTCCTCTTGGATGGCACTGGATATTTAGGAAATATCCATTAAAATGTTCCATGATATGAATATAGATAAGTAAAAAACAGTTTTTTCAGTAAATGCAGTACAGTATTTTTACACACTCGCTGGTGTAATTGATTGTGAGTTCTGCACTGTTTCAACTCAGTTTTTTATTTTTCTCAAAGAACGAGAAATATATATCGCTATAGTTCAAATTTCATAAAAACAATTTTTTTTATAGAATTATAGAACTTTTTATGTTGATTTTACCTTAAAAATTATTATTCTTGTATAAATTTTTAATCTTTTAAATAATTTCTTTACACAAGTGTATCGCCTAGATAATGTATGCGTTTCTATTTGCCTCCTAGTGTATTTATGCCCCTTTCACCCCCAATCTACAGATTATTCTATTACGAGAAATGTCAACAGAACATAACGAAAGGGAGCTTGCGTGTTGGGCTTGTTTGTTCTGAAAATACGTCTTTGTTTCAGAACGATAAAAAATTCAACGATTGGATAATTACATCTGAATCGATTACAGCCCGAGGCAGTAGGTTTGGAGTCAAACGAAGCAAAATAGATATATTGAAGGAAACACACACTACTATTTTGTTCTTATGATAAAATAATTTGTTGTAATCAAAATTTACAACATACAGTCAAACGAAAACTGACAATGATTCATAGAAAAAAAGTCGTCAGACAGCATATTTTTTAACCCTCTGTCAGTCGCATGGTGAGAGAATCCCTCACCCTAGTTGCATTTTTCATTTATTTCTCTTAAATCACATACAATTATCATTCCATAATTTCAGTACCTTTCACAGCACTCTTCTTTTATACATTAAAACAGTTTTTACGTTTTTATTCAGTGTTATTTTTATATTATTGAATTTAAAGTCAACAATTGTCACGATTTCGTGAGGGATTCTTTCATCGTGTGACCAATCATGCATATATATAGTCGATTTCACCCCAGACAGCACGTAAGCTTGCAGCAACCTTGCCGCGCAACATTACCACCCTTGCTCGGAGAGCTTGCCGCAAGCTTCAAATGTCCCACCTTACCCAAGCTTGCATGGTAAGCTTGCCGAAAGATTGCAGTGTAAGGTTAATGCAAGATTGCACAATAAGATTATCGCAAGATTGCATGGTAAGCTTACCAAAAGATTGCATTATAAGATTATCGCAAGCTTGCATAGTAAGCTTGCACGGTAAGCTTGTGGCAAGGTTGGTGCAAGGTTTCCAATAACCTTGCCCAATAAGCACAGAAGTTTGCATTGAAAATGAGCACTATGCGCACTTGCAATCACAAGCACTTACGGCTGCGCAGTAAATTTTTTTGACTTCCCAGGAACTGGTGCTCAATATCCCGTGCAGAAATTTCCCTACTTAGTTCTACTTTAAGTAAGGTTCTCTCATGGCCCTTGCCAGTTTTTCCACAAGTCCGGCATTTCCCAGATTAAACGACAGTTACTTGGTTATGCCATGTTTACAATATAACCTAGAAAACTACATATCAAGGCAGTGGAAAGGCCCTTGCCAGTTAGTCCACAAGTATGGCATTCCTTAGAGCAACTCGGTCTTGCCATGGTTTTATGACATAACCTCAAAATAAAAAGTAATTTTTAACACCAAATAAAACTATAATAAAATTAAATTTACATGCAAAATATTTTATCAAGTAATAATTATTAAATAATAATAATTATGAATTTTAAATTATTTAAATAACAATTAATTAATTTAATTAATTAAAATATTTTATTTATTAAAATTATTAATTTATTAAAATTCACAGAAAATTAAAAGGTATTAAAATAAGCGTTGCAGCTTATTTTAATACCTTTTAATTTTCTGTGTTCTTAATTTTTTTAAAAAATTAAAGAAAAATTAATTAAGTTAATTTAAAAAAAAAATTTATCAATTTTAATCTAAGAATTTTATCAACAACTCAAAAGAAATAAGTGATTTTTTCTTTACAAAAACTAAAATTTATTCGTCTTTTTAGGGTTCCGTACTTGGTTTGGAACCCTATTAATATCGGTTTTTTTGAAATCGTGTACCCCCCCCCCCCTAGCGGCCACACAAATTTATCTGGAGGGCTGAAAATTAGTACACATATGTATTTTCGCGTGTAGATTACAGGAAAAATATAGCGAACTTGATTGGAATTGATTAACATAGCGTTGTCAAGGAAAAACCATGAATTTTTACGAAAAATGCCTAAAAATGACTATGTACCCCCCCCCTAGCGGCCACATCTTTTGACATAAAGAGCTCAAATTTGGTACACTTACGTATTTTTACGTGAAAATTACAGGAAAAATATAGCGAACTTGATTCCGATCAATTTACATAGCGTTGTCAAGGAAAAATCAAAAATTTCGAAAAAAATTATTT